CGCCGTCGTCGTTCGAAAAACGACATTTTTCGCCCTTGTATCGAAAACTACTATTTTGAGTCTGAGCGTTAAGAAAAACTTACTAATTTTCGAGAATTGATAACGAAAATATCCAAAAAAATGAGCTTTGACAAAAGTCTTGAGTTTGAGTTTTTGTACCAATTTTCGACATTTTTCCACTCAAAATTCCTCACACAAAAAATAGAAAACCCGCGCTCAATTCAACCTCGTTTCCATACAAATGACTCGATTTCGAGTAATCGAGAGAGAGGGAAAGAGAGTGGATCACAAACAGAAAACAATTGTTTCTCAAGTGTGAGGCCATTGTACTTCAAGTATTTTACAATGGAACGTTTAAAACCCGGCAATGAAACAGAATTTGCCGGTGAAATAGACTCGGAGAGCCGGGCCGACTTTGCGCTGTTTTGAAATCGGCCGGATCGCGCGCCTTTGAACGTGATTGGTCGATTGCGCCGTGACGTAACAGTGATGGCCGCCGCGCGTCGAGTCGTAATCTTGGCGCCATGGCGTGAGTGTAATCTCTATTTTTAAGTAACATCGGCGCGCGTCGTTGCCAAGCCTGCCATCATTTCCAGGTTTTGGATAATTTTGTCGATTAGGGATGCTGATTTCGCCGTCAGACAAAGGTTTTGTCTATCCATTGGCTCTGGTTGAAGTTGCGCGTAAATTTGGCAGGGGCGCTAAATGGTTTGAATAAAAATGCAATAAAAATTTAAATTCCATAATGGGTTATTTGTGTAAAATGCGTTTTTCAAAATATTTTGCTAATTGTTTCCTTTGCCTTGAGAGAAGAGTGCAAATATGACCGAGCAGGTATATTTCAAGTCGAGTTAATTCCCATGGCACATCATGCGTACTGAACTTGCTCATGCGATTAAATATCGTATGTAGGTGGACAATTAATGAAAAAAGAATCTCAATTAATGAGCATTCCACTGGGAAACTCGCTTACATAATTGACACTATCTACCGCAAACTCGTGTCTGCAGCTTGCTTGAAACAGAACTATAATTGGATCGTTATGGATACAACTTAATTAAACATTGGCCTGTAACATTGATATCCCAAATATTCAATGCAACAAAACAATTTAGCAATAATAGCGCGACTGCATTTCCATTGAACTAATTATGGATGTTGAAGCTGCAAGTTTACTTCATGGTAAAAGACGATTCTTGGAATCAGTCAAGACTTAATTAAGCTGCAAGAGCATTGCGAAATTGATTAAAAGCCCCCAGCTGATTGACTGGGCGGGATTCGGCCGCGTCCCGACAATTTACATCGCCACTATTATCTAATTCGGCCGGTTTGTAAAACTAAACGTAACGTTGAAACTAGTCGAAAACCGAAGAAAAAAAAGATATTCTAAATTTAAACACCAATCACACATGAATGTCGCGGACGAGGAGCCACACCCATAATGATGCCCCCGGGTCTACTTTATTGAAGAGTTTTGTCATGCTTAAAAAAACGATTTTGTGCCACCAAATCAACCAATTTCTTTGGAATATAGCAGCTGGTAGAGCCGTTTATGCTCCGTGACGTTGCAAGTGTCAGAATTGTGTCAAAATTTTGAAGAACTTGAGGTTAAGTTGACTTTTTGGCAACTAGTTCTATGACAGTGACACGTTGAATTTGTCACATTTACTTTTGCACACATGTGCAATGAACAGTAAAGAAAAGTGCTTCTTTTTGACCATCGCTTCTGATCGAAAAATGGCACTTTTAGATTCATTCGAATAAAAATTGGTTTTTCCATGTCAAACTCAGTTTGGTCGGTGTTGCCAAAAACTGCTCATTTGTTCTCAATGTGTCATAATTAAGTGAAAATTGTGAAGAAGGTTAAGTTGACTTTCTGACAACAAACAAATAAGGATTTTTTGACAAAATCGACCCAACTGAGTTTGATATGGAGAMTCCGGTTAAAAAGACTCGTCCTCACGAYACTTTTTATCGAAAAAGAGACTGTTTAAAATTGGATTTTCCCAAAAATCGCGGCTCCATTTATTTGATTGTGAACAGCAGTGACGAAAACGGGTGGAACTCATTGGACTTGTGGTGATGAATGAACTTCGGGGAAGAAAA